GTCAATCTTTCCTTCGGTCGGTACAATACTTAGATCTGTGGTATGTCAGTCTTTGCTTCAGTCGGTACAATACTTAGATCTGTGGTATGTCAATCTTTCCTTCGGTCGGTACAATACTTAGATCTGTGGTATGTCAGTCTTTGCTTCAGTCGGTACAATGCTTAGATCTATGGTATGTCAGTCTTTCCTTCAGTCGGTACAATACTTAGATCTGTGGTATGTCAATCTTTGCTTCAGTCGGTACAATGCTTAGATCTATGGTATGTCAATCTTTCCTTCAGTCGGTACAATACTTAGATCTGTGGTATGTCAGTCTTTCCTTCAGTCGGTACAATACTTAGATCTGTGTATGTCAGTTGCTTAGATCTATGGTATGTCAATCTTTCCTTCAGTCGGTACAATACTTAGATCTGTGGTATGTCAGTCTTTGCTTCAGTCGGTACAATGCTTAGATCTGTGGTATGTCAGTCTTTCCTTCAGTCAGTAAAAAACTCAGATCTATGGTATGTCAGTCTTTCCTTCAGTCGATACAATACTTGGATCTATGGTATGTCAGTCATTACTTCAGTCGGTACAATACTTAGATATGTGGTATGTCAGTCTTTGCTTCAGTCAGTACAAAACTCAGATCTGTGGTATGTCAGTCTTTCCTTCAGTCAGTACAATACCTAGATCTGTAGTATGTCAGTCTTTGCTTCAGTCAGTACAATACTTGGATCTATAGTATCTCAGACTTTGCTTCAGTTTAACAATAAAATACCAATCACCTTTCGCGGAATATTTGTGATTAATCGTCTGTATACAATATTGAAACGTCATGCATGTATGCAAGATCAAGACATGTTACGAAATGTCCCATATTGTTAATCAAAATATACACAGAAATGGGAAACGTGATTACATGGTGTAATCAATCAATACCAAAAATTAGACTGCTGATCAGGTGATTTTCCCTGATATGCCCACGTCCATCAATCAGATAATAGTCCACGTCAGTCAATCAGTCGATATACCACACCTGCTAATCTGATGATGTCACATGCTCATCAATCAGTCAGTTTCCACGCCTGCCAATCAGTCGATATACCACACCTGCTAATCTGATGATGTCACATGCTCATCAATCAGTCAGTTTCCACGCCTGCCAATAAGTCAATGTACCACACCTGCTAATCTGATGATGTCTCATGCCCATTGATAAGTCAATATCCCACGCCTTCCAGTTGGACAACATACCACACACCTGCTAATCTGATGATGTCACATGCCCATCAATCAGACAATATACCACACCTGCTAATCTGATGATGTCACATGCCCATCAATCAGACAATATACCACATCTGCTAATCTGATGATGTCACATGCCCATCAATCAGACAATATACCACACACCTGCTAATCTGATGATGCCACATGCCCAACAGTCAGTCAATATACCACACCTACTAATCTGATGATGTCACATGCCCATCAATCACACAATATACCACACACCTGCTAATCTGATGATGTCACATGTCCATCAATCAATCAATATTCTACGCCTTCTAATTAGTCAATATTTCATGTCAATTCTTGTGAACCATAGAAAAACTCTTTTTGTGGGGATATATTCCTGGAAACGAAACAGTAAATAACTGAGACTGGTCAATTAACTCTTCGACTATTTAAGCAACAGTTGGTGATAATATCATAGACGTCATATAAAAAGTAAATGTGTAAATTACGATAACGTAAAATATGTCACCCAAGATACTACCTAAATTCTTCTTGAGAACTGGAGGAAAAGGTAATATGTACATACAAGTCCGTCTGTGACCATTAAATAATGAGTATTTTATCTAATTAGTTAAAGGAATTGGGCTGTGAAGAGCTTCAAGAAATATGTATAAGCGAATTTTTTTCTTTTTTTCCCCCCAAAAGGCAAACGTTTGTACTCGTACTAACATTTTAACAAGATTCATATATTTTCTAGCTTAAGTCATTTCGTGTTCAAACAGTATAAATAATCTGTCATAAGCTCTTCTTTTTGTTTTATATGTATCACTATATAGGTGCCAAACAAATTTGTCGCAACATTCAAGATATGATTGGATTCCAGCCAAACTATTATTTTGTTTTCTGTTGGATAGTGGCGGCACCTCTTGTCATTATGGTGGGTTATAAAATTTATAGTATTTTGAATATCATAATATAATAAAATGTTAATTTTATGTTTCCCGAACAAAAGGGCATATTTTCTTTTCACGTAAGGGGGATTTTTATTTATTATTGATGTCGTTTTAGATATTAAATAGCGTTATTTGTCAATGATAGTTATAATAATTTAGGGAAAATTATGACCAAATCGTAACATATTTATGAAGTGTGTATTTTCTCCAACCTAACCTTTACAGCCATATAATTCGATGTTCGTTTCATGCGCAGTCTTCAGTCTTACATTCACACTACACAGTTTAGTGTGGGTAAGCTGTGACGTAACAAGAGCGAAACTGTCTACGCCAATCAGTCGCCAGTGTTCACGTTGTTAATAACAGTGTCAATTTAATGTTGCCTACTGAGTTTATCCATTATGTGTGTTCTTGTGTTTTCAGGGAATCTTTCTGTTTTCTGTACTGAAATATGATGGCGTCACCTATGCTAACATATACAAGTACCCCTGGTGGGGAGAGATGATTGGTTGGGGAATGTCTGTGGCTGCAATTGCATGGATTCCTTGTTACGCCATCTATTATCTCTTGACGACTTCAGGGACCCTAAAAGAAGTAAGTTTGAAAACTGAGTAAAACAAAAACGATTATAATATATAATCTTGCTGATTAATTTAAATATTGTATCATTACTTTGATCTTATAAAACTTTATATATTTTTTATCTTTTAAAGTTTTGATTTGTGCCAGATGTGTGCGAACGTTCATCATTTTTGGTTAAATTCGAATCTTTCCGTTTCTGTCAGTAACCGATGTGATATGGATTAAAGTAAATTACTCTTCTTTTATGAGTGAGAAAAATCCATTGGTAATATTGTACAGCATTTTTACATGTTTACTTAAGTCAATTTAAATATAAGTTTCACTATATAGAAACATTTTTCAATTTTCGGGGAGCACGTTCCCCCTCTTGTGCACTACGTGTTTATTTAAGTCAATTTAATTATGTTTCACTATATGGAAACGTTTTCAAAATTTTAGGGGGGCACGTTCCCTCTCCTGTGCTCTACATGTTTTATTAAGTCAATTTAAATATGATTCACTATATAGAAACATTTTAAGTTTTCGGGGGGACACGTTCCCCCTCTGTGCTCTACATGTTTATCTAAGTCAATCTAATTATAAGTTTCACTATATAGGAACGTTTTCTATTTTCGGGGGGGGGGCGTTCCCCTCGTGTGTTCCCATGGAACGCAGCTGATGTATAGTTTTTGTCATCCTAATGTTTTTGGTTAAAAAATCGCATATAGGAATAAAGGAGTTTCAATAGCCACTTATCTGGTGATGATTTGTCGCACTGTCAAGAAATTATTCAATTTTAACTCACGTATTTGAAATATTTTGTAAGAGTCAATGATTTTCGTCATAAGAGAATCATAATAACGTTTGTATTCCGTGAATTGTACATTAGTGTGAGTCCAGTGAATAGCTATTTGTTCTTTTATATCGAACGTTTTCTGCTTTTCTTTCAGTCATCACAGTATTTATTAGCATACAAATGGCGAGCCCCCCCCAGTGGCACTGCGGTATGTCTGCGGACTTATAACGTTAGAATCCGGGTTTCGATACCCGTGGTGGGATAGCCCATTGTGTAGCTTTGTGCTAATTATAAACAAACAGCAGAGAGTAAGCATGAATTATAGTATAAATAATTGTTTTATATGTATGTGTATTTCTAGCGACTGAAAAAAGGTTTAAGCCCAGTTATGGTACCATCCCCTGTAAAAGAACTGATCTCTGTTGGAACTGACGAAAATGCCGAAGTTCAAGTTGCAGTTGTTTATAAGGCAGAAGAAGAAAAGCCATTCAATCTCAACTAAAGCTATGTGGTGGCGCTGTCATAGCACGAAATTTTCTTTCAAGTCACATATGTCTGTTCTTGAAGGCCAAATTAAAAAAAAAAAGGATCATTCCCTGAAATTTGATAAACTAACATTCGGTCTATTTTTATCCATTGGTAAATTTGGCGAATTTATTCATCTTCTGTTTTATTTTTTATCCATATTATTTGTTAGAAATATAAAAGACTATTAACTAGAAATATACAGTTTGTAATTTATTATATTTGGAAGTTTATTAAAGGTTTATTTCTCTACTTTTCGATACTATAGGAGTTTCAACTAAGATTTTAAATAGTTACCCGACAGACATAATGTACATATTATAAATTAATACCATGGCTCACAAAGAAAGAAAGAACTGAAAAGTTCAGATCTTGAAGAAAGAATTTTCATAAGTGATTTCCGTCTTTATATTCCTTCTAGTTTCTTTTTTTTGCCGTCAGCAGAGGTAACCCAAACACATTGGCCAATTCTGAACAAACCAATAAAAAAACTAACGTGGTGTTTGTGCATAAGGTGCTCCCTAGCCCCACCCCACCCCACCCCCCGTTGCTATATTTCTAATATGATTTACCCTAATTTTAAAATACGGTTTGAATTTGATATCTCCAAAGAAGACATTATTAAATAAAACAACAATTAGAGACAAGTTAAAAGTCAAGGTGAATTTTCTCACGAACCACTTTGTAAGAGACAAGAACAACAGTTAATTTGGTATTGGTTTTTTTTTTAAACATTTAATGTATAATAATTATTTTATCTAACTGTACGTTACATTGCGTAAAAACAATATAATTCGGGTTTCGATACTCGTGTGGTGGGCAGAGCACATATAAGCCGTTGTGTAGCTTTGCGCTTAACGACAACCAAATCCAAACCACAAAAACAAAACTTTATATAACGAGATTTCCCGGACAGTTGTCTAAAAGCCCAAAGTTCTATATATATATACCTATATATAAACATACATGAATCGACTTGTTTAGGTTTTCCTGTTGGGTGTTATTTTTATGGAAGGTTTCGAGACTTTGATAGAGTTTTTGTGGATAAATTCTGTAACAGGTAAAGATGGGTACGTTTTAGCCGTGGTAGGTTTGTTGTTTTGTAAATATCTTGTTTGTTTTTTTATCTGCAGAAAGAGAAGTAATTAGTATTTAGAAATACGAAACGTCCGTAGGATAAATTTTAACCGACGTCTTCTTGTTGTAATCAGAATTCATATTTTTATCGTTGCTGATGTAGAGACATTGTATTATGTTGAACCGATTTGGGTTAAGCCTAATGAACATAGAGAATCCCAGTATGAGTAAATAAAATGGTGGAAGTAATTAGTATTTAGAAATACGAAACGTCCGTAGGATAAATTTTAACCGACGTCTTCTTGTTGTAATCAGAATTCATATTTTTATCGTTGCTGATGTAGAGACATTGTATTATGTTGAACCGATTTGGGTTAAGCCTAATGAACATAGAGAATCCCAGTATGAGTAAATAAAATGGTGGAAGTAATTAATATTTAGAAATACGAAACGTCCGTAGGATAAATTTTAACCGACGTCTTCTTGTTGTAATCAGAATTCATATTTTTATCGTTGCTGATGTAGAGACATTGTATTATGTTGAACCGATTTGGGTTAAGCCTAATGAACATAGAGAATCCCAGTATGAGTAAATAAAATGGTGGAAATTATTAATATTCTTCTAGGCACGATTGTTTGAATAAGTAAGGAATCCCAAGTGAACTCCATAGTGCAACTCAGTGGCACAGCGGTATGTCTGCGGACTTACAACCCTAGAAACCGGGTTTCGATAGCCGTGGGGGCAGAGCACAGATAGCCCATTAAGTAACTTTGTGCTCAACTACAAACAATATCATTATAATATTTCACCAATGATGAGTATTTTCGTTCAACGTTCAGTGAGAATTTTCAGTAATTCGGCGTTTGTTCTTACAATTCCACTTTAATCAAAGGCCCTCTATTCCTGAAATTAAGCTTGTATTAGTTAGAATGCGATTGATTATCAAATAATACCCCCGTTTGAAACTATTTTAAATATAATACAAGACTTGCGTAGTAGAAGCACTCTGCTTACTTTTAGAACGCAAAAAATCGAGTTCCAACACCCGCTGTGGGCAGAGAACAAATAGCCCTTTGTGCATAACAATAAACAGACAAAGTTTATTTTTGTACCAGTTTTACCCAACTGGTAAACAAGTGTTTCTTAGATGATTAAATGTCTCCCGAGTTCCCACCAGGTGGACCTGTAATCGATAAAATGTAAAATTCTCAGTACTACAAAATATTTCCGACTTATGTCTGATCGTCACAGAAACTTTTGTTGCTTGACCTTAAAAATTTCTGTAATTCTTTTCAACGGATAACATATAACATCGTCGGAACAAATCAAATTTAACGGATCCATTATAGCTATTACGTTAATTCTACATAATTCTGTGTAGCTATGCAAGTAATATGTATTAACACAATATTGGGCTTGACAACGATTTGTTTTCATAGTCAGTGACTTCTACGATCGTGAATGGATAAACTCAAGAAGTTAGACTTAAAAAAAAGCAAATTAACCACACGGTTACAAACATAAATTTTTATTTCATTTCCGGCTCAACTCACGGTTGTTCTAAATTAGACAAACTTGTCGTGGGAGAAAAGAGTCTAGAAGCGGCATTTAGACCAGTGCCTCCTCCTTGGAGTTCGGCCTTTTTCTATACCCGAACTTCTTTTATTTGACGTATAACTTAACACGTGTTTATGTTTTTATTCTGTTTATTTTTGCAGGCTTATGCGTTGTACTAACACTTCACAATTGTATTAGCGAATGCGGTATAGATGGCGCTAACCGTGACGTCAAAACTTTGATAAGTCGTTGTTGAAAGCTTAAATAAATGTACATAAACTGAGAAATTAAAGGAAAATATAATAAATGTATATTTGTATGTAATTGTGCTTGCAGTGTGTATATAACAGGGGAAAAAATAAATATCAAAATTTATTAAACTTATGGTGTCAGTTTTTTGTTTATTTCTTTGTTGTTGTTTGTTTGCAGAAACGGAAAAAAATATATTTATTGATTTGTGATTTAATATATTTTTCATATTAATATCTTAATTTAATTTAGTCTAAAAATTACAAGTAACTATCAAGAACGTTTTTGAAATAATTATAGTTTCGGTATGAAACGGAATTCTATCTAATTGTTCATATTTACTGTTTGTTTTTACCAGGATCGGAAGAAAAATGATGAAATCCATTAGTTACAAATACATGACAAAAAAAAACTGTTTCTTGTCAATTACAAACAGAGATTCGAACATAAATTTGCATATTATAATGCGGTAAATAAAATACCGTTTAATAGTATTTATTTCCTTTGTTTATTGGGACGAAGTAATTAAAATTACACTTGACTGTATACCTCTTATTTTAATTAACTAAAACAAAATTATTTTACTTCAATCATTAGACTAGTTCAAGTAATAAAAGAATTACGTAGACGAAGAAATAACAACCAGCAAAATATAATAGAATATGGTGGTGAAAACTCGTCAAGTTAAAATAACTTTATTAACAAAACAAGAAAACGACGTTTCGGGAAATAGCGTTCTTTTTTGCGTTACAGGAAAAACGTTTGATTTTTAGATTAGGCTCTGTTAATCCCTTTGGAATGAATGAATAGTTCTTTTTCTATACTTTCTCACACTGACATTTAGTGTCTACAACCTTTTCGAGACACTATTATAACCTCGAGGTTCGCACTATTTTCCTTTCCTCTCTAACCCGTTCATTTCAGTCACTCATTTTTGTTACCTCTTTATTCCTTTCTTTCCACTGTCGTTCTTCACTCCTGTTACCACATACTGTTTATTGTTGTATCTCT